TACTTATTTGTTCCACTTTATCATCAAAGTTATTATGTTTCTTTCGTATACGAACAGAACTTACATAATCATAAATATTTATTTTCCAGTACTATTATTTAACAAAAAGATCTCTTCCCTGAACAAGTCACCACACAGTAATGTATTTATCTTATTACTAACCGAGTTATAGTTATTCTAACTTCACAAATTTCGTGGTCCGCTTGACCAATTAATATATTACAATTAATTAAGGTTTTTAGTTGAAATAAAAAAGTCAATGGCACGAGCGGGATTCGAAATTGAAAAATGGCAAAAAGGAGGAAAATTCAAAAGGTGGGGTTGAGATGGGAAGTTAGTGTCCGAGTGGATCGAGGTCACGATAGCTCAAGTGGTAGAGCAGCGGCGTATCTAGCCGAAGATCGTGGGTTCGAATCCCGCTCGTGCCATTGACTTTTTTTATCTCAACTAAAAACCTTAATTAATTGTAACTTATTCTAACCTTAATTTTTTAAATATTTGTATTCGAAATTTATTATCTGCACACGATTCAAACCACTTTTGTACATAATTAGGTCTTGAGTTGTTATAAATATCGTTAAAGTGGGTATTAAATTTAAGAACCTTACTTTGAATTGACTTGATGATTTATTTGGTGAAAAGTAGAAGGAGCCAGGATAATATATTGGATATTGGCTTTGAAGGGCGTGTCGAATTGGCATTAAATTGATCTAACTTGCTTATATAACGAATTAACTTAGCATAACATAATAATCTTTATTTCGATTAAAAATTTGATACTAGTACAAAATTGAGTTGGGCACTAGGGCGAGTACATATTGAGAAAGTTATTTTATTAATTATTTATTAGTCATTTTATTTGTCGCAAGAAGAGCAAAATTTTTACAAGGAGAGAAATTTGTAGAAAATAACAGGAGATTTATACTGCATAAAGAAGATTAAATTTTGGAGAAAAATAAACAAACAAATCTAATAGCTTTAATCTCAGTGAGGGCATTTTATATTTCGAGCAATTTGGGCAGATTTTGTCTTTTATTAAGGGAATCAATTATGTAAAGTTATACATTTTTGGTTTTCTGATCTGTATATTAGAATATAATTTAGATTCCGATTTTCATGAAGAGAGCATGATAGGAAATTTGATTTGATTTGAATCTGATGAAAATTGGAGTTGATTTGAAAAATAGACAGTACAAAAAATTTTGAACCATGTTTTGTCTTTTCTCTATTAAAGCAAGTGGGTAAATGACTATCAGGAGAGAATTGAACCTTTGTCCATTTATATGTAGCGTTGGATGTCGGTCAATGGATTTCTGTAATTGGATGAACATCCTAATTAAAATCTTTACAACGTTCCAGATATGGTTCTGAACCGCCCAAATTACTAATTCGAATGGATATTAATTGCCAGATATTTGTCTAGGCTAAATGAGTTTTCAAATTTTATCAATAATTTTTTTGTATTGTAGCCCCACTTTAGGATTCCCAGATATACTGTGGACCGATCATCTTGATTATATAGGCTTGGCTGTACTTAAAGGCAGTGTTTGTGCCAATAAAATGGATATCGGGCACTCTGAACAAGACACAGAAGAATGACACATCAACACGGAAAGCAAACACTTTCAGCCCTGAAGATGATCTCAATAAAGATCGAAACGTTGGCACGATAAAAAAAATGTTTTTGTAAAGCCTACGTCACACCAGACCGAATCCCCCGATCTCTGAATAATCATAAACAAACGGTCACTAAACACCACATAAATGGATATCTTTATTTTCTACATGTCGGACGAGTCTATTATATAATGTTTGTGGATAGATCCGTCAGAGTGGGAAGAGCACATTTACCCAGAACTTTAGAATTTAGTCAAAAATAGTCACTTTTACGGGTAGAAAACCGGCCTAAGTTCGAATTTAGGTACTAATGCGACGAATTACTAAGAGTTAACCAACTGACGGTTAAAGTATTAATAACAATAAAACAACCGATAAGTTGTATGAGGTAAAATGTGTGCCTCCATTTTGCAAAAATTTAACAACTTAAATTTCCAGTATTAGGAAAGAACAGAAATAGTCGTATTTGAATTATAAAATTACTGCTGATAGAGAACAATTTGCTCAACTTCTGTTTCCGAAAGAGACAATTTTTACGAAAATCAAATAGAAAATTTAAGTTTTTAATTTTTAACTGTTAATACCAGATTTAAGAAAGTTCCTACTTTCCCAACGACAACCAACAAAGTATATTTTTTCAAAAAAAGTCAGTTGAATATCTAGTCCAATTCTATGATTATAGTACTGCTATTGATTATTCTACGGGAGTCCCGGTGTCTCATTTTGAGTGTCTGATCTCCAGCTAATTTTATAATATGATTCAATTTAATCATTAGCTAGTATGAAGTGAGTGAAATATCTAAACTGATGTCCATTATTGAGAGAAAAAAATGAGATTTTTATATTTTCTATCCAGATACTGAAAATTACAGTGTTTGCGTACAGTGTGCGTAAATATATTTCATTATTTAAAGAATGAAATTTAGGTTAAAGTGAAGTGTAAAAAGGAACTTGTTCATTACATACTTAATTATACAGAGCAGAATAAAATAGAAAAAAAGAAGCTGTATAAAAACCAAATTAAAAGTATTTTTAAAAATACATTTACCGCCTTTTATAGAACAGCATTGTTTTTGAACAAATTCAATATTGAATGGAAAAAAGTTGGGCATTTTTAATCAACATTATAACTTGCTAATTCTTTTCCCACGCTAAGCAGCCTTATTAAAATGCCTTTCAAATCTTTCTAATTTTCTCTCAAAAAGCCAATTTATCTGATCATTCCACGCGATAAAAAAAAAAAAAAAAAAAAAAAAAAAAAAAAAAAAAAGGAACACATCTGTAGTTTTATTTTTAGCATTGAATTTTATTGACGATAACGATTGGCCAAAATAATAGTGCAATTTATAATTTATACGTTTTAATGTAAAGATAAATTAAATGAGATTTACATTTTTATGAATAGATCGTAGTGAACTTTTACATATTTCCCTTCCGAAATGAATTGAATCATGAAGTCTATATCGTAACAAAAACTACTTAAATCCCGTCCATCAGTGGCTACTACTAAGGGTGGTGCAAAAACCAAAGCTAATTTACCGAGTTGTATAAATTCTAATTAATGTTGAAGTAATAATTTGTACAAACTCCTGAAATATGCTCATAAAATCCTATCTGTTAAAGCATTTATAGCAAACAAATCACTGTCATGATCTGCTAAATGTAATATCATATTATGTTCATGTAAATCTCCCCAATATTAAATCGGATAGAACAATATTCATATTTTCGCCAAAACGTAATGTTTAATACACTAACGGACAACTTCTCACCACTAATTTTATTTAGTTCAAAATTAAATCCATTATCTTTTTACATTATTTAGGTAATTAGGAGCTATCGTAACCCAAATAAACAGTAAATAATGCCTCGTTTATTTCCTTTGTTTACTTTTGTATTGATTAATTTCATTTGCACAAAAAGTAGCATTATGCCCTTCCATTCTGCTACGGCTAAATATCACTTTCGGTTAATCTTTTTCCTTCCTTGATTTAATTTAGTATTATTCGTATTTCTAATTCTTTTTCAATGACTCCAGTCAGGCTTTTCATAGAAACAGCGATTTACACTAGGATGCCAGGTCAAGATCGACTTAGGTCTACAGACGAGAGAGAGAGAGAGAGAGAGAGAGAGAGAGAGAGAGAGAGAGAGAGAGAGAGAGATTAGATTCATCCGTCATCAGGTTCTACGAAACCGTAGCATTACGGGAAATGCGATAAGAAATGATAAGACATGTCCGAAATGTTTCGATATCCTCCAGGACTGTAAGAAGAAGCACAATGAAAATAACACACCTAGATCGAGTTGTTTCTTAACACAGCTCAGACAATGGCCAAGCTTCAATTTGTACGGGTACAATGAATTGGGCATTGGAAGTTTGGGGACGAGTTCTCATAATAGATGAGTTGAGAGTTGGCCTCAAATCTTCTGATGGGCGTACTTTCATATGGAGACGCTCAGAAAAAGGTGGCATTCCATGTTAATTCGTTCATGTTACGAGGTGACATTTCCTTGGACGCTCGCACCGAATCGGTTGTTTTGCGAGGAACATCTCCAACTGCATAGATTTAATTACAAGGAATAATCGAAGAACATGTAGTGCCATTTGCCCCCACATCGGTTAGAGATGCTTGCTATTGCAGGATAATGCCAGACCCCACAGAGCACGTATTGTGGATGACTACCTGAATGAGGTTGGAATTGTGTGATTGATTGGTTTCGCTCGAAGAACCCAGTCGAACACATTTGGGACCAACTTAACCGACGAGTAAGATGGCGAAACCGAGTTCTTAACACACTAAAAGAGTTGGAAACAGTTATTCTGATAATGGGAAAGAATTTCTCAGAAATATTTTCCAGGGAATGCAAAGGCGTTTAACGGACGTGATTCTTGCTAGGGGTGAAAATACCCAGCATTAGCGGTGACAGTTAATAAACTTAAGATAGTTATGTAAGTTATTTTTTGATGTTCTTTACTCAATCTTAATTATTTTCTTAATTTTCTTAATAAATAATTTTCTTTTTATAAAATTAGATAATAAACATTTTCTTTTGAAATGTCTTATTTGTACAACCAAACCTATCTTTGGTATGCAAACTATGAGTGAACCTAAATGCATTAACTAGTGCGTTTGTTTTGTCCTTCGTTGTATTATTTAGTCGCTCATTTACGCATTGTCAGATGTGATGAAATAAAAATTACCAATCAACGATTTGACTGATCGGTTATTGCAAATTACGCATTTAAGAAAAAAAATCATGGAAATCGTTAGTGGTCTGTTATTTTGGTTGCGATTCGTTGGCATTATTTAATTATACCAAAGTGGTATAAATTTTATTATTATTTGTCGTTAGTTAACAAAATAGCACAAAACTCAACTTACCTAAAACAGAAGAAATGGCCAATATGGCGATAAATACTAAGGAACTCATTATATTTCACAGTGCTTTTGACAACCAGCTAGTCCATGGAACGATCTGAAACACGATATAAAATTGAACGAATAAATATCACGTGGAACCAACTGGATATTTTCTAATTATTATTTGTCTTTACTGATTAAAGTTAAACTAGTGCGGTTGGTATGATTAGATTAAACGAATCGTTCAATGCAAAAAAGGAACGTTTCGATTAGATTATTTATTGGGATATGTTTAATTGCATCGTATGGAAAAAATTGTTTCCGAAGGTCGCTTACTCAATTAAAAGACGCAGTTCGAAGAGAGAAGAGGAGCGAAGCCCCTTGGAACGAGTCACGGAACATACTGAGGGTATTAGGCGTCCTGCCGGTCTCCGCCAACCGCCCCCGACCACCCCCGGCACCGTCCTCTCTCACCCTCTCCTGCCTCTTTGACGGCCGACTCGGCCCGTGCCGCCCTCGCCCGAAACAACGGCCATCCTCCAACACTGACCCGACGCACTCTCTAATTATGCCTTTGGAGTCCATTCTCTCATAATCTCCTTTCGTCCTCAATTGCCTCCTGCCTCTCGACGTGCTGATTTACCCAAGCGGATAAAAAGTGAAATCAGGACGCACGGTTATTTTCTGATAATAGGCGTTAACGGGTCATGAACAAGACCAAATTGAGTGGATTCGATTTGTACATCTTCATCATAGAAAACGGTTAACTTTTATTAACGTACATATCTTCTTTTTTAATTTGTATAATCCGGTCAACCGAGAAACGACCTCGTCCATGCTGCAATGGAGAAATCCCACCGAAGACTTTCTGAAAAGGATAATTAAATCATTTTCGAATGTCATTTAGATGTTCTTCTTACTAACCAAAGGTTGTACAAGCCCTAAACATGTGCCATCAAATTCATTAGGAAAGTACGATTCGGTCTTTCAAGCAGAAATAGATGCCATCAACTGGCAGCCCTGGAAATCTTAAAAGAGTTTCAACTGGCAAAAACATCCTCGTAAGTTCTGATTGCCAAGTAGCTATTAAAGCATTGGCATGTAAAAAAATCACGTCAAAATTAGTCAGTGAATTCATCGAAAATCTCCAAAACCTGGGGAAACACAACAGCCTGATGACATCTTGGGTGCCGGGGCACAGGGGAATTTTGGGTAACGAAAAAGCAAACACATTGGCCAGGAGTATCTGCAAGACCATACATAGGCCTCGAACCTATACTTAACAGATAACAAAAACAAATATAGAATCCTCCATTGCAGAATGAATCCAAACAAAACAAAATGAGAAGTGGATAAACTCTAGCGGTGCTAGACATAGAAAATTTAGATGGAACAATCCTCATCAAGACTGGCAAAATCACTGCTGCAATTGGAGAAGACTAGACTCAGAGGAGTGGTAGGACTACTAACCGGTCACTGGCATCTGGGAAAACATCTACACAACATGGGCAACGATGATCTGCAGATTATGCAATTAAGAGGAGCCACCATATCATCTTCGAATGCAAAGCAACAGCTCAACCTAACAGACGAAAAAATCTACGAAATGAAATTGTAGCAGCGACAGCCAATGTCCCGATACTTCTAAGAATCTCAATCAATGTAGAGATTGAGTCTACTGCGCTGAACTAAGCAACTAGGAACGTACAGATAAGCCAGCACAAACCCAGCTTCCAAGTATACTTATTACCATAACATACCAACCACCAAAGGTGGAAAAACAATCTATTTATTATTTTTAATTTAATTCAAAAGCTTGAGGTAGTCCCGATAGCGACATTTTATCATTTTAGTCAAAAGTGCTGCAGTGCTTACCTTTTTACTTTTCCTGTGTGGCGTCATCCAATTACTTGAGTTTCCTCTGAGCCAACTTATCTAGTTCTTTTAGTTGCTAATTCCAGTTGTGGTTATATATATTTTTATTACTAGTTTAAATTATGTAGCCTGGGAGCTTCTCTGCCCGTATCAGGATACGAGAGGTAGAAGCTCAGGGACGGATCGCGTAAAAGCTTTTTTTCATTATATTTCTTTATTTTTTCACTTAGACAGGCCAATAATGTGTATTACATTCAAGCTCTCCGTGGCCATTTCATTTGTCGCCGAGAATCGAATAGATTGCACGACATTTGAAAAATGGCAAAAAGGAGAGAAAATTCAAAAGGTTGGGTTGAGGTAGGAAGTTGGTGTCCGAGTGGATCGAAGTCACGATAGCAGCGGCGTATTTAGCTTTTACCATTTAGCGTAGCCAACCAATACCTTGCATAAAGATTAATTAATTGAAAGATGTTATTTGCTCAATCGGACCACGAAATGTAATAGGCGTATGATTATTCGAACACAAATCGTTTGAATTTCTAATGGTAATCCGTGGCAAAAGATGCAAAGCACAGACGGGCATTTAGATTTTCAGCAGGAAAAACTCAAGCCGCTTTACTGCCGTCGTCTCCAAAATCACAATCGTTTCTCGGCATTGATTTTTCATTAGGATGTATCGTTGAAATTGTCAATCCAAAGATGGGAACGTTGTTGGCAAGGGGACGTCATTGACGTCCTGAGTCATTGATGTCCTCTGAGAAAACAAGGGCCCATTAGAACGTCGGAGAGTACTATTGTAGTGCTCTTCGCTAAATGGGCTTAGTAATCAATAGCAGCAGCTCTCGTAGACTTTGAAGCGGTGAAGCATCCCAGCGAAATTTAAAAGGACCAAGATGCGTATGTAAATAGTCGAAGGGAAGAAACGCGATGAAAGAATCCGTCTCTCAACGACCGACTCGTTATAATAATCGTTTTCCGTTTTCTTTTTTCTGAACAATTGAAAACGAACCGAAGAGATCTTAGTGTTTGGTGGAAATTAATATTTGTTAAATAGTCAGAGGTGAAAAACGTATCACGAAACTATGTAGAGTAATTCTTTTTTATTGTTTATTTTAGTAGCTGAAAGCGTTTTTAATAAAAGTTGGACCCCTTATGTCTCTCGGATGCCCGGCATTCTGGGCTCGCTCGACGTCACCTTCAATGGAATCTGACCCTTTCAACACGTTTGTCTCGCCTGGATATATACGCGACTATTTTCTTCACTCTCCTCTCCGACCCAACAGAAAAAGTCGGCGAAATTTATAACCCTGCTATTTGAGAAGGCGGATTGTTTTTTGACCATCTGGTGATTTGTGCCGTCAAAGCAGATGTTCAAACGACGCAGGAGATCTCATACATCCTTGTATTAGAATTCTCAAAACTGTAATTAAAATTATGGAAAAATGAGGGAATATGTTTTTTTTTTATTAAGTCCCCTATTGTCTCACAATCAGTGTATGACTTTTTTTGACCTTATGGTCGGTAGTAGTATATTGGCCAAATTGGCCAAATCTCTAAGCTTCAAGTTTGAAATGTTTATTTATATTGTGTAATATTACTATATAATTTTGGGATAGAAGCTTAGAAAGAGAGGAAATTACTTTGGGATTGCGAGTAAATTCCATAACGGATATGGAGGTAGGAATAGGGAAATTGTATGAAATTAGAGAGTTGTAGAGGGACTCTCGGTTAATGGATTGGGACAGGCTAGTAGAATATGGTTTGAATCGGCTATGCATGAGGGGTCGCAGGAACAGTAGGGTGAATCTAGGATAATTATTTTATAGAGGTGGGAAGGATGACAATTGTGGTTTAGGCGAGGTGAGGGAATGGCGAGGACTATTGTAGGATCGGAACCAAGGGAAGGTAGGAATCATAGGTTGGATGAATTTATAGAATTTCCCTTTTGTGCTGGCGGAATATTCATTTTGCCAACGGAGCCTGCAGTAACTGTTTTTATGGGCTCTAAGATCTCTAGTGGAAATAAGAGAGCAGGGGATGCCAGCGGAGGCCGGAGCCTTGGCCAGCCTGTCTGCTTCATCATTAAATTTGTTGTTGCTGTGGCCTTTAGTCCAAATTATGTGCACTACAGTTATTGGTTAGTTGAATGATGGCGTTAAATATCTGGGATATTAAGGTGTGGTGTGGATATTGGAAATGGCGGATAGGACAGTGAAAGATAATTAGATTATGAGGATTAATTTATTGGGTATATTTTAGGGATCTAGGATTGCTAGAGCTTCAGCGGTGAAAATGGAGGCAATGCGGGAAAGTTTGAATTGTTTTGAGAAAGAACTAGCTGCGGTATGGAAAGTTGCGCCCACACCGTTGTCGGATTTGGAGCCATCTGAATAAATGGCTAGAGGCTCTTCGCAATAGCCACGACCAGCCGCTTCCTCAATGTATGGAGGGAAGAAGGACCAGTTGGGATCAGAAATAGCAAATTTGTTAGGGACCAGTAGTGGGAATTGATTGGTAAGGAACTTCGGGTAGTTGGATGTTGGGGGAACAGAGAGAATCAACTGGAAAAGTTTCAAAAAAAGTGTAGATAGCAAGGGGGATTTCTTATTCCGCCAGAAATTGCTGGTATTGGAGGTAGTAGCAAGATGGCGGATGTGAAGGACAGTAGGAGTGCAAGACATTCAATTCTTTACATTGTTCAAAGACTTTTTTTAGACACCTTTTCCGATTTTTTAACATTTCACTGTTACTGTATGTATGTACTTATAATAAATTAAGTTTTTTAAATATTACTATGTTTTATTAATTAAGTTTCTACATTTCCGCTGTGGTACTATTAGACTTGCTACAATGGCTGGTCGTCGCTGGCTCATGCTGGCTAGACTGCTCTCCTCCTCCGGTTTACCGAGTTCCTGGATCGGACGAGTCCTTGACTTGGATAAATGTTTGCGTTGACTGACTTTGCTTTCCAAATCATTCCCTTTGAGTAGGTGAGGAAAGGAAAAGCAAAAACTGCTTGGACAGATAGTCAACTTCCTTCTTGGCCGCTCAGTTAACTCGTAATTATCGGGAGTTTCCGTTACGGAGCCTTCCTGGTCTAGGTCGATGGACATCCGGCTGACGTGTTTATACTGTTTATAGTTTAAATTTAGAGTGTCCCACATTTGGGTGAAATGTGTCTGCGACAACCTTCTTCACTGAATATTGTACTCGTGTACTTTCATAATTTAGTGAATTCGTCTATCGAGTTCATATGACTTGCAGGTTGTGGAGAAACATCTATTTGCCTATCATATGGGCGACCTGCAGATCTATGGCCTTATGTCCAACATATGTTTGACATTCCTTACAACTATTTTGCAACTATTTATAACAACTATTCCTAAATTATGTTAAAACTGGGATTGACTTACAACATGGTTAGCTGGACACCGTTGAACAAAAAGAGATTTAAAGGACGGACGTAGGTGAATAAATTTTTGTTCCTCATTGCATAAAAATTAATCAGGTAACAGAAAACAATGTGCGGGATGGATTCAGTTCACAGAACGTTATAGTCAGAAACCTTCCGCGGGTTCAGATAGATTTCCGTTCTTGAGAAGTTAGTGGCACGAGGAGATATTGGGCTGGTATCACTTCCCGATTTTTGTGTATGTGCTGTGTTTCTGACGAACCTCGAAGAACCCGTCATCAGTCCTAGAATATAGTTTGTTGTTGGTTTGTGATTCAGATGTATATATTTCTTATTTATACGCACACTATATTTCTTATTTGTACGCCATGTTGGGCGGATTAGCTATTCTGTTTGTAGGCGCAATTCGGAGTTTTATTTCGGCTACAGTGCTGTTGATACGGTTTGGTCGTCAAGTTTTGGTACTTACTACTCAAAATAGTTGGAACTAGCTTGTGAAAACGCACGAAGCTGCAAAAAAATTATTGAAATTACTACTTTCATCAGAGAATTCACTGAAGGAACATCGTGTAGAAATATATGGTGTTTAGTGACCGTTAGTCAATGATTATTCGGAGATCGTGATATGCGGTATGGTGTGACGTAGGTTATAGAAAAACAATTTCTTTATCGTGCAAACGTTTCGATCTTTATTGAAATCATCTTCAGGGCTCAAAGTGGCGATTGAAGAAACATGAAACACACAAGATGACTCTCAACACGACACACAAGAATGGCACATCTACACAGAAATCAAACATTTTAAGCCCTGAAGATGTTCTCAATAAAGATCGAAACGTTGGCACGATAAAGAAAATGTTTTTCTAAACCCTACGTCACACCAGATTGCATCTCACGATCTCCGAATAATAATAAGAAACATCTCTGCTTTTGTTCGTTGATAGTGATTATTCTAGTAGTGAATCATCACTACACAAGGGAAAAAATACTCAGTTTTTGTGTTCATGTTTTTTCCAACTTCAATGCATGACTCATTAGTGTCATCTTTCTTCTAAAAACGCCAGAAAGCGTAAAGCTGTATACAACTCGATGTTTTTCAACTTCTCTCACAAATAATATGTTCACCTGTTGATCGATCAATTTGAAAATCACCCTGAACTGAGGAATTACAGTCAATAGTGACTCAGCATCCGTAGTACCTTTAATGGTTAGTAAAGCGTCACTAATCAGTAGCGTGTGCTGTCCAATTTAATTACATTGAAAATGGCGAACCGGTTAGTAACTCTAGTTACTAATCAATTTCTTTGAGTATCTCCGTGTTTAACCATCTTCAGTAAAAATCGTGACAAATCAGCCGTGTTCGTGATATATCAGAGTTAGCTTAATATTTTCTAACCATTGATCAATCATACACATATTTTTAGAAACAAACAAAAATCACTACTCGTAAGTTGTTTAATCTTACGATTGTGTAATTTAATAGAATGAATTTTTAGCTATGTACATTATTCGATTTCTGAAATACGGTTAACGTTTGCAAAGGCACTGTTATCTACATTCTAGAATTTTCCTATAAGGAAAAGTTTCGCCCTTGGGACATTTTTAAAATACAGAAAATTAGCGGTTTATAATAACTGGAGAGAGCCAAGGTGGAAGTTTTCTATCCTTCACCCCAACTCGCCCCCGTCGCCTTTCTTCTCTCGCTAACCAAGTTACTAAGTGCTCCTTCCGGAATACAAACGACAGAAATTTCAACCTTGCCCTCGAAGCACGTTCACGGACACTTGCGAACACATGTGGATAACATATTTTTAAGACAGTTTAGAGCATTAGCTACACCGGGGCGGGGTGCCGGAAGACGTGATCCCCGTGCCACCCCCGGCAACTTTACTCCCCGGGATAAATTAAACAGAACGGAATTTTCTTAATACGAGCGGAAAAGCAAAGGTTGTCGGATCGGCCGAGGGTGAGTCGTACCCGCCCGGCTCGTCATTCATAAAGCTAAATTAGTCATTTATCGATTAAAACCTTGAGCCCTGAGTTGGATGAAACGGAAATGATTAATAGCCCTCTAATTTTAAAGTTTTACTCCGTGGAAATTAATCGTTCCGCCGAGGGCTGCCAGTCATGCCAAAAGATATCCTGTTCTCAAATCTACTCACTTCCGCCCAACTTTTTGACACTCCGTTACTTTTAATATTCATTGTCTAAAAGTAAATAAAGCAAATATTCTACAGGGGCTTTCAATCTGTTTCGTCCAACGAGAAGCACTCGACTTTAATGTTAGTATCTAAACATTATCGTTCAAAAATTATCAGAAAATATATTCACGTGAAAAATAGATATAATTAGGTTATCTATTGCAGCTATCAATCGTAGTGACTAACTTTTATTTTATTGCTTTGTGACTGATTAAAAATGTTCATAAATAAAATTCGTGGCATCATCCGGTAACATTTTTGTTTTATATATTTGTTTAAAATGAGACTCGTTTTGTTTTGGACTTTTGAAACAACACACTTGGCATTTGAATGCACGCTCTATCATCTTTAATTCGTAAATATTCATTCAGAGCTTTCGCCGAGGACAAATCCCAAAACACAAAAATACCGACTCACAAGGTGCGGACAGCAAATTCGGCCCACTTGCTTTTCTGATCCCCAGGATGATCTTTAGGCTTTGTTGAAAATTATCATAGTAAAGAGGTTCCGTAACTGTTGGTGCCGAGACTTGACTGAAAATAACGAAGAACAATTTTTTTTTTTTTTTTTTTTTACGAGGGTTCGCAAACAGCAGAGGTCATATAACCCCTCTGGGTGCCGGTGTATTTGAAAAAAGCCAACTTGTATGTCAGGTTTAAATGCAGGGCTGCTGGATTCGAACCCGGGACCTTTACCTTACAGTGACGAGCGCCGAGTCAACGCCTAAACCCTTGCGGCCACCGTCGCCCCGAATATATTATCATTCGTTTTGTTACACTGTTGTTCGTTTTGTTCAAAAACAGTAAAAAACCTTAACAAATAGAAAATAAATAAGATGGCAATCGTCAATATTTAAAACATGCAAAAATTAAGTGGACACATAAAATTATATATTAAATTATATATTAAACACATAAAATTTATTATTTTATTTTATAACTAATGGCGAACGCCTTATATAATTTAAACATTAAAAAAACCTCCTGCGATCTTCAAGGCCAGATTTAGTGCAGGGATAAAAAGCCAATAAATATAATTTCCTGAATCTAACAGTTTACATAGTTTCCTACTGTTTCTAATAAAAGCTCTTTAATGTATTTCTAAAAAAAACGTTTTAAACATGTTGAAAATCCAGGGACACAAAAGTAGCCTTCGCAGCACCGAGGTACATCTTCCCAAGGGAACCTTAGAGGTGAACACTGAAACAAAAGAAAAAAAAATACAGTTTTGTAATCAAAAATCAATAAAATTTAATAAAAACCGGTCGACTATTAATTTCATTTATTTTCCATTCCCCGAATAGAAAAACGTGAAAATTCGTCAATAAATGAGCCATTTCAAAGATCCAAAACAAATGCCAGCCTGTGGAGAAAAATTATTTCCTTTTTCAGTTTTCTTAAAAAACATATAACTCAGGATGTTCTTTAAACCTAATCGAGGTTTAACACTGAATGAAAGATTTATTTTTAATACATATTAGATTTTTTCTTAAAATATGCATAAATAAAAAGATAAATTAAAACAATAGCTGATGGTAGAATTTGTTAGAAAAATTTTCTACATGATTGGGATAGTTTTGTTTTAATAAATACGGCGAAATATTTCCAAAGCCGCTTTAAAAATCTTAAGCCCTAATGTAGCAACATTATTTCATCAAAATCCGTGAGTACATTTTTTTATGTTTCTAAATTAACTTAAATTCACTAGTTTTCGTGGTCCGCGTGACAAATTAAATTCTTTCAATTAATTAAAGTTTTTAGATGAGATAAAAAAGTCAGTCACACGAGCGGGATTCGAACCCACTACCTTCGGCTAGATACGCCGCTACTCTACCACTTGAGCTATCGTGACTACTCGGACACAAACTTCCCATCTCAACCCCACCTTTTGAATTTTCCCTCCTTTTTGCCATTTTTCAATTAGATTATCGTAGATAAACAGTGATTGATGAACTGTGTCGTTTATCCGCGAAAAGTCCAATATAACGCGCAAGGTCAGTAGTTGGCAATGAAGTTCCAGTTTACCCATTGTATGGCAGTTACATCTTATGTGTTAAATAAAATTATTCAGGAGTACGTATCATCTGTTGACTACTATTACGACACATCCTACACTACTAATGAACACGTATAGAAAAATTTCCATTGTTATCAATTAGTTGTTTTCGCTGTACCTGTATCCAAATATGACAAGAATTTGTTTGAGTGGGCACGTAAAAGGAAAATTACCTTATTATTTGCAATGCAAATTGACGGTTGGGAAGGATTCTAAACCGTCTCCGTTCGGCCCGGCTAAAGCAGTTGTACGTGTTTTCTTTTTGTTAACTTTCTAAACTACTTTCTCGTCGTTATCAAAACGGATTTAGTCTCTATCGGTTTAAATTATCAATTGCAATTATTATAACTTGTCTGTACTGGTTCGGGCGTTTACACTGTTTACACATTTCAGTTAAAACTAGAAGTTTAAAAATTCCTTTGTTCTATAGAACGTTTGTGATATCAAATTTTTTTAAACTTTATTTATAAATAAATTAAAATTTTTATGCATCATACATTCTATTATTAATTTATCACAGTTCCTTGCCTTATTTGATAATAACTCACAAATCCTCTGGATCAAGGTATGTTCTTGAATTAACAAGGAAATTGTAACTACCAAGCTTTCGATCTATTTTAAGGACATCATCAAGGCAAAGCGATCTTAAATATTTCTACATATTGACATTGACAGATCGTTTTGCCCTGATGATGAGCTTAAAGTTGGTCGAAAGCCTGAAAATTGGTTTTGTTTTTTATTACGTTGATCCAGAGTGTTCGTGAGTGAAAAAGTAGTCAATACTACTAGCATTGAAAAATAATAATAACTCTTTGATTTTAATAAAATATCATAGTTAAGGTAAACCTACATGATACGTAATAATGTATAAATTGAGAGAATTGTCACAATATCAACTTTTCTAAATGTGTCTTCGAAATTTTCTTATTTGTCCTGTTCATATGATAGCCCGCTAATTATGCCTTTCTTTGTAAGCTTAATGTCTTGTTCATGTGTGGGTACCCTAGGACAAAATAGCTCACCTTCTGTTACTATCATAAACCGCACCTTAGACAATTAGTGTTTTTTTTTGTGTTGCACTATTTGTTTAAACTCCTTAATAAATATAAACTTTTACTTAAAATTTTGGTTTTCATCTCGAACATGGATTATTAAAGATACCTAGTAGTTTTACAGGGTCAGTATTATTGGGTAGCATTTTTTGTATCTTAGAGATCACATACCATATGTTTTTTTGTTTTCTTTTAGGCATAGACAGTTTTTTTAAAAAACAATATTTAAGCTCAGCTTATAAAAGTTTATTTGTCTGCTAAGTAAATATATCTTTACCTATTTGAGCAGTGCTGATATCAACTGCAAAATCACTGAAATTTACCAGTGGAAACCTTTAATACAATTCCACTAATGTATTAATCGGTCCTACATTACTTGGGGCACCCTAGTATTTATGACTAAATTATGACAATTGATCTTTGTGGTACAGTGCTCGCTGCCTATCTCTTAAATACGATATAACTCAATTAATTTTATTGCATGTTCATCAAAATTATATTTGAATTTTTGTAAGTATTTTTGTAATGCTTTGCTGATGTCTAAAAACGTCTAATATCGTTTTCCTTTTCCAAACTGTTTGTATTATAAGTATTTATGAAACCAACAAAAGCAACTTAGAAACACATAAAAGTTTTATTTTTTAGAACTATTTTATTTTTTTGTTTAGAAACATATTTTATTTTTAAAATCTACATCTAAATTGATCTAAATCTAAATCTAAATTTCATTTTTTATAAGTGCCTAAATTTTTTATAATATAGATAAAAATTAAATTGATTTAGTTTCTTTTCTTATTTTTTTGTAAACGCCGCTAAAAAATTAGCCTAATACAGATATGTTAATAACTCAGTTCTAGCCTGAGCCCAACAGCATAAACTTAGCAAAAGTTATATTATATATATTATATTATTTTTCAACCAATACTTTACATAAAAATTAATTAATCGAAAGAAGTTATTTGGTCAATCGGACCACGAAGTATAATGTGGTTATATTACATGTTAATATTATCGGTCAATAAAGTGGACCTGCCATTGGACTTAAGAATATCTTTCAATTAATTAAGGTTTTTAGTTGAGATAAAAAAGTCAGTGTCACGAGCGGGATTCGAACCCACGACCTTCGGCTAGATATGCCGCTCCTATGCCACTTGAGCAATCCTAACTTCGATCCACTCGGACACTAACTTCCCATCTGAACCCCACCTTTTAAATTTTCCTTCCTTTTTGCCATTTTTCAAAAGAGATTAATTAATTGAAAAGAATTTATTTGGTCAAGCAGACCAGGAAACCTAATAAATCTATTTATTAACGTTACACCAGATGTATATTTTATAATTGATTACCCGTTTTGGTTAATTCATATCCTTGCCCTTGTATGAGATATTTTTTACAAAGATTTGCAACTAAGCGGTCATATTGGCCATCTGAGATTCGAACCCGGGATTTTCCAATGAGACCTCGTCTCTGGTTCGTTTGTGTAAATTCATTATAATAATCTTCATATTAGTTCAGACTGGTAAATCAAACTTCATGTACGAAAAAAAATTATACAAAATTATGATTATCGATCTGCGTACGCTCGTTGGGTTTCTCTGTCTATTAGTCACTATACAAACCGTTATGTAATAATTCTGAGATATTGGTGGCATTCAGTTCAGTTTTTCAAGCATAGTCTCCCTAAGGAGTAATAAATACATAATATTATACATAATATTATTCAATGGATTTGAAATACCTCGAATTCATACAGTACACACAGAAACACACACACACTCTCTCCCCGTTCATGCACAAGTTCGCCAAGTAAACGCTAGAATTAGTTGGCTTTAATTAATGTGGCAAAATCATCATAATTTCGTAGTTGAACGTCATCCCAACACGTATAGGTACTGTAATGATTAAAGTTAGGCCCAACAGAGATAAGATTGAAAGGGAAAATGGAATTGAAATTGGCTCAAAATAAACTCGTTACACACAAGACCTATTCAAAAGCCGTTTGGAAATTAACTACAAGGAATATCGGTTTTTCCCTTAGCTGTATAAATTCTAGTTTTGGCCTTTTTCGTTCAAAAGTTATTCGACAAACCGTCAACAAACAACTTTTAAATACCACCTAGAACTGAGTAGTATCGAGTGGGAAGAAGGGTTTTTATTTTTCATCCCATTTCTTATATAACGACAAATAATGAAAACACGATAATTTTGATTGACAACATCATTAACATTTTATCAAAAGTAAGATATTTACTTCAAAGCCAACGTTGAGAAGATAAGATAATTGTAGAGGCAAAGTTTACGTTTTGGTGAATCCCTTTATTTCACAACATAGCTAACAATTTTCTACAATGCAAAATTTTAAAAAAATTGGGTTGTGTAAAACGCGATATTTCAGTTTTATTGTTATGGCTAAAAATTTTGTAAAGAAGTGTAAATAAATATGTATACTGAGACTTAATAATTATAACTTTCATTTTGCCAAATCATTACGTACTTAATTCTTATTTAGAAATGTGTGGTGTTTAGAGACCGTTAGTTGATAATTATTTGGCGATCGTGAGATGCGGTCTGGTGTGACTTACGAATGCATGTAGGATGTGAAAAAAATGAACAATACTAGAAATTTTAGATTCAATCAAAGTATTTGTACTCACTCAAAGTATTTTATACAGAAAACAAACACTTTGAGTGTGTACAAATACTTCGGTTGAATCTAAAATTTCTAGCATTGTATAAATTCATTTTTTTCACATCGTACAGCTGTAAAATGTAAACAATGTTTATAAATCCCAGGTGCTGAAGATGATCTCAATAAAGATCGAAACGTTCGCACGATAAAGAAAATGTTTTTCTAAAACCTACTTCACACCACACTGCATCTCACGATTTCCAAATAATTAATTCTTATTATTTCGTAATATAAGGTAATAACTTTTAATGTCTCATTTTGAAAATTAAATCGGTGTAATGAAAGGTTGTGCTACAAGCGATGACAGCATGCTATGGAAGCAATGACTGTAATTGGATCGGCAGTTGGTCGGTTTCAGCATGATATTAATGTTGAATAGCATTGTATGTTTTGATCCTCTCTCTCGTATCGGGTACGTTCCGGCTTACCGTGTTAAGCCCTTGTGACGACCCTTGAAAATATAATATTTTTCTTAAAATCTGGCGACGTAAACTTTATGATGATAAATTAATTAATTGAGCATTTTTTGAAACGATGAGAAAAGAAATCTTTTGGACTCACCGGATATCCTGCGCCGAGGCAAAGTCTGATTCCATTTTCGGCGGTTGCTGCGACGAGGAGGAGCAGAAAGAAGTGAGACTGGGCCAAGATCCGCATGACACTTTTTCAAATTTCGCACTGTAGGAGAAATTTCGACAGTGCGAAGGCCTCGCGCTCTTCTCCCACCGGGCGGCTCGTTTCCGGCGGCGCCACTCCCGGCTATCGGAACATGAAAAATATACGATTTTCCATGATTGGTCTTTTATTATTAATTGCTATTCAGAATAAGCCTCATCCTGGAACTAAACGTTTTAAATTGTTCATTTTAATTGCCATTTAAAAAAATACCTTTAAAACCAGAAATTCTGAATATCATAACTATTTAAAATTCAATTCAACTTATTATTTGGGTTGGTGCAAAATTAATGCAGGTTTTGTTTGTTTTATTTTCTCAGGTAGGCACGTAACCAAAGCTAAATTCTCAAATCTACTTTATGGATTATTACTTTTTTAAATTTATTACTTAATTAATTTTTAAATATTTTTAACTGTTATCTTTTATACAAAACATTTTAGTTTATTAAATCCAATATATTTAAAGGTCTACTGGCCAAATTACCTCTTTCAATTAATTAGTCTATTTATGTAAGGTTTGGGTTGAAATTTGAAAGGTTGTAGGTTGAGGTGGGGAGTTGGTGTCCGAGTGGATCGAAGCCACGATAGCTCAAGTGGTAGAGCAGCGGCGTATTTAGCCGAAGGTCGTGGGTTCGAATCCCGCCCGTGGCACTAACTTTTTCATTTGAACCAAAACCTTACATAAAAAGATTAATTTTAGTTTATATTGAATTTTATAAAAGTTAGGCAATAGTAAGTATGTACAAATTAGTATGTTTGTCAAATTTATTTGTACGAATTTCAACTTGGGCTAAGTGCGGCCCAAACAACGCATCATTAAGTTTGGGGGAGGTAAGTGTTAGCGAATGATTTCAAAGATTTCGTTTTCCCGATTTCGATCTCGAAGACAGGCGATGTAGGCCTTCCGTTGTGAACGACAACCTATTCAAAATGTTAATCGAAAAAAATTCACGTAAGACAACACGGAAAATTGCTCAAGAGCTTAATGTTGACCACTCAACCGTTATTCGCCATCTGGATAAATTGGTATAGAAGCTCGACACGTGAAAAGTGGAATTAACCGAGGTCCAAAGAAATCGACGCATTGAAATTTGCACGTCTCATCTGTTGCTCCACCAAAATGACCCGTTTCTCGATCGAATCATCACGTGCGGTGAGAAATGTTTTCTGTACGATAACAAGAGGCGTTCAGATCCATGGTTAGACAAGGAAGAAGCGCTAAAACACTTCCTGAATCCAAATCTGCAACCAAAAAGGTTATAATGAATGTTTGGCAATGTACTGCTGGGGTTATATCACAGCAGAGAAATATTGCCAAGAAATTGACAAAATTTGCGGGAAACTAACTCCTTTGTCAAGCAATGGTAAACCGTAAGGGGCTGTTTCTTTACATGTCGCAACGCCTACTCCGGAAACTTAAGGACTTAACCTTACCGCACCCTCAATATTCACCCGACCTCTCGCCTCCAGACTTCCACTTTTCGATTTGCATTTTGATCACTTCTCCAGAGATAAAATTTTTAGAGAACGCGGTTAAGCCGAAAATGCCTTTCAAGACTTTATTGTGAGTCGAAATAAAAAATTTTATGTCAGGGGAATAAAAGCCCTTATTGCACGTTGGCAAAGATGTACAGATTATTATGGAAAATATTACAAATAAATATTCTTTATTTTATAAAAATTAACAAATGTTTTGACTGCCTTTTCAAAACCTACATTATTTTTGCACCAGCTCAACATTAATGACTTTCTATGTCAAATCGGCCTTTGTACGGATAGTCAAATTGTTGGGTGACCCTTTGAGCCTGCTGAGGAAGGGCCATTGTGTGCTCCGTAATAAATAGTAGATCGAGTTAAGCCGGGAACACTCTTACCAGATGCAACGCTATGCGACGCTACGCGTCGCAAATCGAAAGTCCGTTTTTCCATAAGATTGGATTACCCCCGTGCACATCTGTCCGATGCTACGCAACGCTACCCTACTCTACGCTATGCGATCCCCATCGAGTACAGTCGAAGACAAAATTACCGGACGCTGATATTTTTATTCAAACTACAAGTATTATTGTCGTTATTTTAATTACAACATACTTATTTTAATATAAACCAAATTAACCGAGATCAAAAATACATTAGTTTTTTTTTTAAATTAATTTTAATGGTTTGGTAGAAAATTTATCACAACACCGGAATACCATTTTTTGATGTATGAATTTTAATAACAATTTATTACACGGTTTTGCTCATACAATTTACGTAACAATTTATTTCTTGGTTTTGCTAATAAAAGTACACCATTTTCGTCGAGTAGCTTCAGAACAGGACACTCATATATTTTATAGTTTATTACCAACTATGTATATCTAATTTTGTCATTATATTAATTACAACATTCATATTTTGATATAAACCAAATTAAACGAGACCAAAAATTCATAAGTTGTTATAAAAATTATTTAATTATGATGGTAAGAAAGAAAATTTATCCAAACACCGGAATAACTTTATTTAAAACAATTAAGTTTAACAAACAATTTATTAAACGGTTGTGCTCATAAAATTTAACTAACAATTTATTTCATGGTTTTGATCATACAATTTAACTAACAATTTATTTCATGGTTTTGATCATAAAATTACACCATTTTCGTCGAGTAGCTTCAGAACAGGAAACTCATATTTTTTGTAGTTTATTACAAATTATGTATATCTAATTTTGTCATTATATTAATTACAACATTCATATTTTGATACAAACCAAATTAAACGAGACCAAAAATTCATAAGTTGTTATAAAAATTATTTAATTATGATGGTAAGAAAGAAAATTTATCAAAACACCGGAATAACATTATTTAAAACAATTAAATTTAACTAACAATTTATTAAACGGTTGTGCTCATAAAATTTAGCTAACAATTTATTACTCGGTTTTGCTCAAAATAATGCATTAAGAACAAAAGAGGCGTTGGGATTATGACACTGATTTGTGATACACGCGTGACTGTGCGTGGCGTGCGCTTGTCGTCGCATAGATGTGCACACCCTACCAAAGCGTGACAAGGCGTCGGGTAGCGTCGCATAGCGTTGCGTCGGGTGTGTTCCCCCCTTTAGTGATTACAGATTTGAATACTGACAAATTCAAGCGGAAAGTGATTTTGTTATTTTTCGAGAATAGGGTTCTAGATTGCATTTATAGCACTTTTAGCGGAACAATTTTTTCCTCAACATGAGAGTTTTGAAATAAATGTTTTGCCAAGTTAAGAATATTTGTTAACAATTAACAATTGTAAACAACGTGGTTTTGGAATGAACCTCTTTTCATTTTTCTGAAAATGAGCTCATGATCGAGCTCCATATCTTAAGTTACTGTTCAATGCTATATTAATATATTAATCCTATGCAACGATTGGGGACATGAGGCGGTAAGTACAATGTTATTTGTGTGTATAAGTAACATAATTCTAATTTTACAATTTGCACTCACTGCAGTTAGGGAGTGGAAAAAGTTTGTGTATGAAATACTTTGTTCAAAATTTATGTGTACATCTGTAATTGTACTTTTTCCAATCTACATATGCTTTGTAATAGAAAATGATAATGGTAGGGTTAGTATGTTAATTTTTTTTAAAAGATTTTTTTTACGATGGTTCCCAACAGCAGAGGTTATATCAACCCTCGGGATAACTCTGTTTTTGAAAAATAAGGCCCATTTGTAAATAAGTCGAGTTCGAATGCAGGGCCGCTGGATTCGATCCCTGGACCTTTACCTTACAGCGATGTCAACGCCTAAACCAACGACGCCCCCAAGATGGTCATTACTCACTGTTTGTTGTTTTCATCGATCCGGATTTCAAACTTAAAGATCATCATCAGGTCGAAGGATTTACAATCACCTTTCTCGACATGAATTGTAAGAGTCAAGTCTATCTTGACAATCTGATCATAAACTTTAAGCTTGAAATCTGGATCGTTGAAAACAATAAACTTTGTGTAAGAACAATCTTTTAAAAAATATTGCTTTGTAATTCTCCCAGAACCTGAAGATGACCCAAATAAAGGTCGGAACGTCGGTAAAAAAATGAAAAGGGTATTTTTTTAAAATACTTAATCCTTCTAAATTCCTGACCGCCCTTCACGATTTCATCACTGAACAACTAGGTTAACAAGGTCAGTAAAAATACACATTTGATTATAGTACAGGCAATGCTCTGTAATTAGAAGTAACTAGTAGAAATTTAATTATCAAAACTAGAAAAAAACTTTGTATACCTTGTATTTTTAACAAAAACCTACTATTTGTGTGTATGTGTCCAAAACAGGAAGAAATATATAATTTTGTTTATTTATTTTTGGTAGTTAAGCTTAAGAGGCGGGCGGATATGGTCCCGCGCTGCCGGCATTGTAAACGCCCAATAATGCAGCTCTGAAATAGTTCTTGCCCGGATGATAATACGCACACAGTTAGTACATTTGCTCGTCGGATATCCGGGAGTCGAATGGGGAATAGTTAGTGCTGTAGCTATGCCGTTCTCGGATATTTGGCATTCTGTTTGAGCGGAGGAATATTTGGACGGTGTTGGGGAGGCGTCGAGGGGGAAAGGCGATACGGGGAGGCCGCGTTCTCCTTGCGGGGGCTGGCGGTACAACTTGACCCATTGTCGGCACCCTCGTACATATGGAAGAGGGCAAGTTGGCGACAATCGGCCTTCCCGAGGCCTACATAATTCCTACACAATGCCGGCCGACGGAGGGGAACGGGACACAGCAATGCGAAACAGACGGCATATTAATTATAATTAATTTCCAGTGATGCTCGTTCGCCTGGACGTACCACGTCGCACAGTGGGGCAAGGGCGGAAAAAAACTGATTTTCTGAAAGTGCCGATTTCGAAAATCTGATTAATGACACTCAAAGTATATTAGCCAGAGTATCTTCTGTTAAAAATCACTGCGTTAGATATTATTCGCAAACAATTGTTTTAGATAGCTCAAATGAGTAAATTAGCAATTTTTCCTTAACGCCAGA